TCGGTGCATGTTATTCCAAATAATCATTTTCATATAATAGTATAATAATTATTGTAGAATAGTCTTTGTAATCCTAAAAAATAACTTCCTCTGAAACAATCAGATTCAATTCCTCTGAAATATTTTCCACTGACATCACTTAGGCCATGCGGGCTATTGGACCATGTTAATGAATATGCAAATAGCTATTTTTTTCTCATAGAACATATTGTTTCACTCACAAATATATTGCATTACGAAAGTAAAATTAACTGCAAATTGAGATTCACACTGACCAAATCAATTGCGTGGCACACCCCAAAAGACTTATAGGAAACTGCTTTACTACTTGAAAATGTAAAATGTAAAATTCAAATCTACAGTGATAAAATCAGAGTTCTTCCCTCACAGTATCCTTGCTTAGGTTTATTGAAGTGAATAAACGTCAAGGATTCAAATGCATATACAAAAATTCCCTTTCAGAAAAAAAATTCAGTTTATTTTTTAGTTACTTTCTTAATACACGTTCCTGATCTTATTTTAAAAGATTCATCAGTGCATGTTATTCCAAATAATAATTTTCGTATAATAGTATATTAATTTTCATTAAAATTAAAATAGTCTTTGTAATCTTTAAAAAATAACGTCCTTTAAACAAATTTCCTTTACTGCTGACATCACTTAGGCCATGCAGGCTATTGGATAATGTTAGCAAATATGCAAATAGGTGCCAATGCCAAGGTCGTGGGTTTCATTCCCAGGGAAAGCAAGAACTGATCAAATGTGTTACAATTGTGTTACAAATGTGTTTAATTTTTTTCACGTTTCACTCAGAAATATATCGCATTACAAAAGTAAAATGAACTGCAAACGGGGATTCACGCCGACCAAGTAAATTGCACTGCACACCCCAAATGTCTTACTGGAAACTACTTTTGGCATTTGAAAGTAGACATTTAAACTGTAAAATTCAAGTCTAGAGTGATAGAATGAGAGTTCTTTCCTCACTGTACCCTTGTTTAAGTTTAGTGAAGCGAATAAACTTGAAGGCTTCGAATGCATATACAAACGAACCCAAGCTAATAATTGCAGTGTATTGGAACTAAACTTTTTCTTTCTTTGAAAGATGATGATATGTCTTCCCACACGTTATGCATTAATTAGATAGATACAGTTCTGTCTGAGGTGGCGACGCACTTGCAGAGGGCAAGTCCTTTCATTAACTCAACGGAAAGGTCCTGTTTAAAAGTAGCATCTACATAACATATAATTAGACATGCTTCAACTCAAAGAAATGTAAGTTATTGTAGGGGAGGCACGCAGAGGCATATATTATACATGCAATGTCTTTTTTGTCAGGTTGGTGCGTGTTTGTTCTTAATATCTCCAAATAGAACGACTGTTTTAGTATCCAGGTATTTGGAGAATGTGATTTTGAATCGATTCCAAATTAGTTTGGCAAACCGAATTCAGAGGGTCATATCAGGTCTTCATTTTCGACAACAATACTTTTCCTAACCACATCTGCTTTCTGTTACTAGGACATTTGTTATAGTTGGGTTGTCAGGTGATTTCTGGTTCAGCGAGCCTGGTGAAAATCAGTGAGTCGAGCTGCAGTCTATTCTCTGGTTGCGTTCAAATCCACATGTGACTGGAATTGATTCAGACTCATCTGGATTTCACACATTCTCACCCCGATGTTCCAGAATTATGCAGTTTAGAAAATAGAAACTGAACAAAAAATGCCATATTGCTTCGATCTTTCTCTGTGGATCTTTCGAATTAAATTAGTCTCATTATGCTGCGTGGCTCACATACAATCGTTCTCATGAACTTGCCTGAAGAAATGGGCTTTACTGTATGATTTATAATTACCCAATAGGGTTCTTACGGCCCAGTGCCTCTCACACAAGTAAAGGAAAGGGAGTTATTTGTGGTAAAAGGAGTGTGAAATCAATGAAGTGTGGGAGTTAGTCTGAGGCTGATAGATAACAGATAGCATAGGTCAGCTCTAAGCTCCACTGATTTACTTTGCTTTACTCTAATACATGTCAAGCACAACAATCTTCCCCCTCGCTGCCTCCCCTCCAGGGCTGGACATCCACAGAAGGGATTGTCCTCTGGAGCCTAATCGCAGAAGATGATACCATCTCAATCGCTGGATCACTGCTGAGTAATCTAATCTGTTCCAATGAACTCGAAGCTCAGAAAGGCATCATGCTTCACTAGTCTAGTCACTAAATTTATCTAATTAGGAAAATGATGTCAGTAACACAGAACTGGACACAATGGGGGCTGAGGTGGCATTCATGTTGGGCTGCAGTTTTGCATTTGGGCATTGTTGATAGCACACAAGCTCTAAGCAATAGTGCCGTTGTACCACTGGTTGAGCCAGTATGTATAAAAAATACCATTACCAAAAGATATGAGCAGCGGTTTTGCCACTGAATGGAATAAACTAAAATGAATGAATATTACATGTTAGCACATTTCTTGCTTTGTATATTGCATGAGTGATAGTCATCCGGAAAAAAAAAACTATTCAACATTAGCAGAGTTGCTAATTGTAGCTCTTTCTATTGATACTATAGCAGTTTTAAACCTACATGTATGCGACAATGAATTTAAGTTAAAACCCCCACAGTTACTTTAAAGTGTAAAGGCCTTGAGTAATCACTGAACTGTAACTTTACATATTCAAAGCATTTTTACTGCTTCATAAGCCAGTGTTATTGCTTCACTCTGATTTCATATTCATAGAAATTATGTGAGGAACCTGATCTGGTCTGCTACCCCTTACGTCTTAAATGAGATCTGCATCCAAATGTGTGAGCATTTTACTAATATCAGACACGCATAAAGGGACATTAGTATAATAGCATTCAAATGTCAAGTCAAGTCATGCTTCATTATCATTCAACCACGTAGGGGAATAGTACGATACTATCAAATAGAAGACAGATGCATGCGTACATAACATACATAGGGCTGTGTATCATGTGGCGCATGTTGTCGACTCATATCAGCCTCTGTAATTTAATTTAACAATGTCACATTTGCCACTTCATATTTCATAACAACAGTATGTTCAATCACAGCGAGCCACCTCAACAATAGCTTTCACCGCTGATGGGCCCAGATGTGTTAAAGGCACAGAACAATACTTCCACCATGTTTAATAGGTGTGTAACCTTCCATACTCATCATCCCATCACCAGAGTTTCAGCATTAGGGCGAGCAGTGTCCCCTTCTGCATTTGAAGCCAAGTGCATTGTAGTTGATTTGCTTATTGGTGAGCTTATGCCCCACTTGGCACCATTGATGCTAAACAGAGAAACAATACACCCATAGTAAACATGTATAAATATTTGCCACATGACCTGAAGAGGAATCCTTGATCATCTTGAGTTGATGTTTGAACTTTAAAGGAGTATTCCAGGTTCAGGTTAAGCTCATTCAACAGCATTTGTGGCATAATTTTGATAAATACTTAAAAAATAAAAAATGAAGGATTACGGTAAGGCATGTACAATTGAAGTGAATGTTAAATAAATGTTAAACCTTTTTAAAAGCCCTTAACCTTAATTTGTCTGTTAAACTTTGTGTATTATTTGAGCTGTAAAGTCATCTAAATAATTTTTACAGTAATTTTAGGGTTTATGGTGTAACATTGGCATGGCGATGAAACAGTGTTGTTATTGCTAATGTAAAGTATTATTACAAATCTCATTACTTGAAATAAAGCTGAAATACAATACAATATAAAAATTACATGGAAAAACTTAATTAACTAAATTAAGAAATTCAAAACTAAATTAGCAATTATGCCTTGGCAATTCTAACTGAAATAAAATAAGTTGAAGTACTGAAATTGATAAAGCTGAAATAAACATAAAAGAAAGCTAAATAGAAATAGTTTTACACATACAAATGACAAAAGCACACAACAAAATCACAAAAAACTTACACTAAAATTAAAATGAAAACTAAAAATATATAAATATAAGAGCTAATTAAGAATTTGAATAAATACTGTAATAGTATAATAGTAAAAAACACTGCAACAAAGTTGTAAAATTGGATATAACTTTACACAGAAACATTAACCGTTTGACCCTATAGTGACTTCCATTGTAATTGCCTTTCCATAACCCAGATCTTTGAGATTCTTGCTTTTTTAAAGAAAATGAGAGACAAGTGGAATTTTTATTTTATTTTATTTTTTATTTTTTTGTGGTAATCAACATGCTCAAATGCTGTCAGTTGAGCTTAACTTGTATTAAACCTGAAATATTCCTTTAATGATTTAATGTTACAGCATTTTTTTTTTATCCTAGTGGTGATTTTTCTCATTGGATTTGGTGTGCCATACTTAGAAAAACCATCAGAAGAGTCCAAAATAATCAAGCAGTTACATTTTGTGCAATATTTTATTAAGAAAAGCGCCTTAGAGATATTCACTGAAGGTAGCACTACGCTAGCACATATTAGATCATATTAGATAGCAAATTGTTGCAGAATATGAAGTTCCTCAATGCTTTTGTCAGCTCTTTTGGATGGTTAACTCGGATCATGCGTAATTACATTATAGCCGAGCTAGTTTGAACTGAGACTGACACATGCCTCAAACACATTAGAGGTTCATTAATGTGTACCATGATCACCTCCCTAACACTACATGGCCTCGTTTGAAAAGGCCACATCTTCATTAGACTTCGTGTGACTGTAACACTTAATTAGAAACATGGATTTGGAACCTGGGGAGCACTGCAAATGGAGTTGTTGCTACAAGCCAATCAGATGAGGTGGCGAACACCTTTTCCCAGTATGCCGATGGCTGCGTGTGACTGTGTGTGTGCGTGTTGGGGAGGGGGGCTGTTCAGTCGAGCATGACGGCCCCTCCTGTCACCCACTGACCTGTGAGGGGGCCCCAACGAGCGGCGAGTGGTTGTCAGCCTAAGCGCTAGTGACAGGCCCCACTCCGGGCACAGCTGTGCAGGACCCCGCTGTTGTTTTCCCACTGCCTGCTGGGCAGCTGCACTGCTGAGGGGGTGATGCTCTCATCCTCTCCCCCCTTTTCCCTCTTTCTATCCCCTCTCCGTGTCTCTTCCTCTTCAGCCCTCACTTGCTTTGTCTCTTTTTATGACTTTAAAACCAAATTATTACTATTTGTTGATTCTAAGCAACATGGTTTTAGGAACTCTTCTTAGCATCATTGGCGTCTGTCGTGTCTGACTCCCCGTAGCCAGGGAAAGTGGCAGTTAAGGGTTGCCGTGACAACCCCCTGCTCTTACCCCAGGGTGGGTGACAGGCCTGTGGCCCTTAGGGAGCCGCTAATCCCTTAGTCTGTCCTCGGTACTCAGTCACTAGTTCAGGGTCATGTAAGACCTCAATAGTTCATTAAACTCTGACATGGCAGGTCAAAGGACTGAGGTCTTCAGTTCATCCAGTTGGCCCATTTAAAGCTGTTTGAAAGATTTTACATGAAGATCTGTGTGTACGTGTGGCCTAATTGTTTGTATTGTTGGCACTTTCTGCAAATACAGTACAGTTTAATGTCATTGTTACTTAAAACTAAAGCTATTCAAATAATTTCTGTTTAAATATACATATTAGATAATAAACTCAATTCAATGAAATAAACATACTAAAACTAAAATTAAACTGAAATAAAAAATGAATTAGATCTATAAAAACACAATACAAAATGACAAAAACATTAACTAAAATTCAAATGAAAACTGAAAATATAAAATTAAAAACTCATTTAATATACTAAAATATTTATTTATTTATTTCATATTTTGGTTTGTATTGACAATCTTAACTGTATTCAACAAATAAATTCATGAAATAATGTCATAATTTTAACTTGTTGGTTTGTCAGTTAATTGTATTGTAGTAAAAAGCTATTTTATTTTAAACTAAATTTAAATATTCAAGTGTTCCACTCTTTCACATAAAGCTCAATATATTGTACTGTGATTCATTGATTAATTATTTTTTTTGATTCCGTGGATATATTCAGTATTTTAATTGTTAACTGTAAAAACACTGAGTGCATTCTGCTTTCATTATGATAACGTTTTTAGAGAACAAGTGACAAATTCTTTCTTTCTTTTGCAGTATTCAAAGGCACTTTTGTCATCTCTTCTGAAGCCCTCTATTTTAACATTACATTAAAGTCAAACATAATCATTGTTCTTATTACTGAATGAATATACTTAACATTGTTTTTCATCTCTGACAGAAAGCTGAAGATATGTGTCAGTAACAGTATTCTAAGATAAATGGCCATATTAGGCTCAAATGAGCTTCAAAAAATTACCATCTGTCAATTTTTATTTATATTATTTTAATGTTATTTTATTTTGTATTGTACTGACCTCAAAAAAGATGACTGGAAAACATTTTGCATATACAGTACATAGCTAAATAGAAATATTCCAACTCACGGCTTTTATCACGTTCAGTTTCTGACATTAAATCAAGGAGAGTTTCATAATAACAAAAAAATTCCACATCATTTCTGGTTCAGTCCCTGCCACGTTTGGTTGTTACTGTCAGTTTGCTTAACAACTGCTCTGCCAGTAGCAGGTTTTTGGCACGTGTGCAGTGGAATAGCTTTGCATTCTCTCACAGCAGCACTAAGATTATCCGTCTGTGCTCCATTCACTATGAGATTAAAAAATGAAAGAGAAACAGTGTCTGGTTGTCTTTTATATATGATCTCTGGGCTCTTGGGAGACCGACACATTCTGCTTCGGATGGAAACATTGTCCTCAGTACAGATGTAGGCCTTAGTGACAGACAATTTAACACTGCCTCAAAGTACACACACACACACAAGCTCGGCCTTTCAATTGGTACGTTTATTGCCACGTAAATACAAATTGTCTGTAAACAAAGCAAAGCTCCGATAATTAAATTATAATCATCTTAATAATGCTTGCTGTGCCATGGATGTAATAATTATGATGTTTTACTGTTTGTTACTGTCGTCAGTTATTATTAAGGGAACATTTATAATGTTACGTTTATGCATTTGGCATACACTTTTATCCAGAGTGACTCACATTGCATTAAAGGTATACATTTTATAAGTTCATGCGTTCCCTGGGAATTGAACCCCTGACCGTGGTGTTGCGAGCACCGTGCATTACTGTTTGAGTAACATAACCTCCTGTAACAAATCTGTGTAAATATAATGTATCTCCCAGACTGTAATGAGACTAAATGGAGAATTTGCTGAAGTGTCTTGCTTCTCAGATTTGTCTTCTGAAAAAAAGACCCCACTCAGATTTGTTGAGATATCCAAATCTATACACTGAAAAACAATTTTCACCCAGATTTTGCTAGTAAATTTCACAATTGATTACAAAAAAAACGGCAAGTAACACAATGAATTAAACTTGAAATTTTGAAGTAGAAAGACCAAAATAGTATTCTTTAAAAACTACTTTAATTTCAAATGTACTTTATAGTAAAACTTTTAATTTGACCTTTTTACAAAGTTGAAGTTTAAGTAGTACTGAAAGTGTATTTTCTCTAAGTACTCTAAAGTTGCCTTTTATTTGATTAATTGTATATTGTCTGCAATTACTTTTTTTTAAATATACTTTTAATATTTGAAGTACCCTACAAGCACGCATTTAAAACACACTTCTATTCCACAAGGAATAATGAAAGAGAAACCTCTTCGCAATAACATTCTCCTATGAATTGTAAAGAGACTCACTATTGTAAAGCATAAAATGTACAGTGATTAATTGTTTACTGCTGCAAATGACAAGATTATTCTTCTGTGAGTGTGTTCATCAGTGTTGTGTAGATGCACGCCTGTGCTATCAGGGTTGTGCCCTCTGTTGTGTATCTGCAAGGCACTTCTAGAGGTTACATTGTGCTAATAAAGCTAATTAAGACCTAGCCTTGCCACTAGCCTGCAGCTAGCACAATGCCCGGAACGAGCGTTTGCTTGCCAACAACTTCAAGAGAAGAGTGTACAGGCCACGACCGAAGTTATGTAGAGCTTTTCAGAGTTGGATTGAGATGTCAACCGTCAGACAATGAAAATAACAGACACACAGTTGAACCTTCCACACATTTACTCCATTGATCCATTTTCTACACGAGTAGACAATCATCTAAGCGAAGATTCGTGCCACAAGGTGGGTGGTGTAGCCGTGGCAGCTTTGCGTACATTTGAGATTCAAACTGTAACAGGCCACTGTGGATGTTTGTATCCATGCATTTGTGTTTCCTGTGTGTGTGTGTGTGTGTGTGTGACAGCAAACGCGTTGTAGCTCTATAAGGGGGAGGGCGGCATTCTGCACCCTTTCTCACACTATCCCGAGTGGTGCGTGTGTTTTAATGGCATTTCTGTCAAAAGTCTCTAAAGGTAATAAATGACACTTACGGGGGTAGATCGCTCGTGGGCGGGAGGGGCAGAGAGATAATTGACTTTCCAGAAAGCTTTGGAAATTATCTCCCGACTTCAATCATTAACATGAATGCACATCTCTCAGGGAGGGGTTGCACATTGGCACACAAAATGCGACATCAAAAGATTGAATTTTTTTTTTTTTGGCGACATATTCTAGATTCGTTGCAATGACCACAACCATTTCATTAAATATGGATGTGATGGTGACCGAAAGAAAGCTTTATGTTGTTGCAAGTTTAGTTTCGTTGTCTGCAGATCAAAATCTTAGACCATAGTTTAGGTTACTTTACTACAGCTTTGTGACTATTTCTGTAATTCTATCTTTATTTTTTGCAGTTGCAACTTCATATCTCAAATCTGTGCTTTTGTGTCTCTTTTGTATTATGAATTAATTTATCACATTCGCGACTTAATATCTTACTATCAGTATACCAAATTTGCATTCTCATTTAACCACATCACTATTTCTCATATTTGCGACTTTATTTTGCATAATTGCGACTTTGTATCTCACAATTGCGACTTTATATCTCAAATTAGAATTTTCATATTTTGCAATTATGGCTTTAAACATCTCTATTTCGACTTCATACCTCAAATTTGTGATTTCATTTCTCATAATTGCAACTTTACCTCTCACAATTGTGACTTTATATTTCACAATTTTGACTTTGTATCTCAAAGTTGCTTATTCATATCTCACAATTCTGTTTTTATAATTTAATACCTCACAGTTGTGATCTCATTCATTATTTCAAATGTGCATTTTCATATTTCAGCACATGGCTATTTCTAAAATGTGTGACTTTATTTTGCATATCTGTCTTTGTATCTCACAATTACGACTTCATATCTCAAATACCGTTTTTCATATTTCACAATTATGACTATATATATATATATATATATATATATATATATATCAATATTTCTTTGTAGTAGATAACATTTATTTATAGTA